GATCCAAAGCATACCACATCATCTGTCAAACATGGTGGAGGCAGTGTTATGGCATGAGTATCTATGGCTGCCAATGGAACTGGGTCGCTGGTGTTTATTGATGACTTGACTGCTGATAAAAGCAGCAGGATGAATTCTGAAATGTATACTTTCTACTCAGAGTCAGCCAAATGCTGCCAAACTGATAGGATGCCATTTCATATTGCAGATGGATAATGACCCAAAACATACGGCAAAAGCTACCCAAGAGTTTCTCAAGGCAAAGAAGTGGGATGTTCTTCAATGGCCAAGTCAGTCACCTGATCTCAACCTACTAAAGCATGCTTTTTACTTACTGAAGACTGAAGGCAGAAAAACCCACAAACAATCAGGAGAGGAAGGCAGCTGCAGTAAAGGCCTGGCAAAGCATCTTGAGGGAGGAAGCTCAGCATTTGGTCATGTCCATGGGTTCCAGACTTCAAGCAGTCACTGACTGCAAAGGATTTTCATCCAGGTATTAAAAGTGATCCTTATGTTTGTGATGATGTCGGTTTGTTCTATTACGTATGAGCCACCAATGATGGGGGTATATGTATGCCACTGGCAGTACTTCCTAAATGGTTAGTGCCCCACTTTTGTCAAACCCCTTGAATTACAGCTGAAAGTCCTGAATTCCTGAAGCATGTGGACTTCAACTTCAGGGCTGGCTGGGGAATTCTGGGAGTTGAAGTCCACACAGCTTAAAGCAGCCAAGGTTGAGAAATGTTGCTCTATTGCTTTTCCAGTTTCATTTTCTTTGTTCCTTCCTGATTTGTTTGCTTTACTTTGTCCCACCAAGTTCAACGTTCTCCTTGCCACTATGACTTCACTCCTCTAGAGTCTCCATCCCCACTTAATTTTCCTCTCACTTGTTGCTATCTACCTACATTCTTTTTTTTCTGGAACTTCACACTTCCAGAATGTCATATTTGTTCTGGGACTTCCCTCTCTGCTTACTGTAGAAAAACCTGTCCTGTTACCAACAGATTTAGCTAGACTCTGGTTCACTTGGAGAGTCCTAAACTGGGCTGATGATACTTCTGAAAGTCTGGTCTTCTTTTAGACCTTCATCTTCATGGAACATCTGACCTAGATTTAATGGGGTGTTGTCAAATCTGTCTTCCAAATTCTCAAAAGTGCTCTCCTGAAAAAGAAACTTCTTTCTACTTCACATACTAAGAGCTTTCTGAAATATCTTCTCAACTTCTACCACTGTCCATGTGACTATTTTCTGTTACACACCTGTCCATCCTTCTGAAGCATCCTTGGCTGCTTATACTTCCCCATCAGAAAATGTTCAGTGGGAGTTCCCTCATAATGTCTTCTCCTAAGATAGAAATGTGTGAGGCAGGGAGGCTCCATACCTTTAGGAAATGATTGTACAATTTAAGACAGGGATTTCTTATATACCTCTTGGTTGCTTGTAACTAAATAAGGAGAAGAAACTCACATTTTACCAATGAGAATTTCTCCTCAATTCTTTCCCCTTTGAAAGAAACATTGAAAGCAATTTTCTTACAGCAAACTGAATGAAAAGTTGTAGAAGAAAGTCTGGATTTTTTTCCTCATGGCCTTTCCTCTGTTGGCCTAACACAGAGTTAAAATATTTCATTGTAAAATTGTCTTTAAATTATTTTATCAATTTAAATGGCCATTTGTATTTTCTTTAACAATTAACAATTTTCATAATAAATGAAGTCTATCTACATCTATGCCTGTCTATCTATAAACACTAGTACAGAAGGCGGCAACGGCAAACCACTGCAGTACTGTTGCCAAGAAAACAAAATGGATGTGTCCATGTAGGATGAAGGAGTCTTCTGTTAGACAATGCAGTATGTTTCAGTTTGATATAAAGGGTACTCTGATAGTAGATAGAAGTCATGGTACAGTTCGTGGTGGTTGGCTACTGAATTTTCTTCTTCCTCCTCCTCTTCCTCTTCTCCTTCTCTTCCTTCTTCTATTAATCACATTTCTACATTGTTTCATATTAAGGTATCATGAGATGAAGATATTGCCACTTTCATCAAACTTTGAGCTCTCTGTGTTAAGGGACTTAGTTTTCAGAATTTCATAAAGCAAAGCTGAAAGAGATAGTAAAGGGAATTCTATAGGCTACATAAATGTTTTAAACAAACAAACAAACAAACAAATAAATACCTCATCAGAAGGTACAATTTTAAATGTATTTGCTGGAAGTACAACAATACAAAACAAAGTGTAGAATGTCTTTGAATTATAGTCCTAGGATCTTAACTAGTATAATATTCATTTCTCCTTGTCCCATAAGGGTTCCAAATGGTACCAAATGCTGCCATTTCGGTTGTGGCTGTTATGGTATCAGTAGGTAGACATAAATTTATTTATTAACATTCAATTTGTTTCTATTTCAGCAAATCAGAAGTGGCAAGAGCTGAAATGTTGAGCTCCTGAAATGGCCAAGAAGCATGAATATGAACCACCACCAAATGAGACATTTGTCTGGACCTGTTTCCAATATTATGTCTATGATTTTTTTGGCTTTCATAAGATGATATTATTAACTACTAACCCACAACTGTAATAAAAGGCACTGGGGCAACTATTTCTGCTTCTTACATTTTTAAAAACTCTACACATGAAAAAATGTTATATATAATGATAACATGACTTAAAAATCCTGAAATGCCTACATTTTTTTTTAAATAGCCTCATTTGCTGCCTCAAAGAAGAAATGTGCATTCCAGTAGTCAAGAATATTAAATTTATTAAACTGGGCTGCCACAAACATTAGCAATCCAGCTTAAAAATGGGATGAAAGAAATCGTTCTTTTCAGAAAAGGGGAACAGCAAACTAAAATTGTCAGATTCAGGGGCATCTGCAGGGAGGGCTCAAAAAAAAAAAAAGATTGTGACCACATAATTGAAGCCACCATCTTGGTTTTTTTGACCTCCTTCTGCTGATGCCCCATGTCAGGTCCATCATTCATTAGGTAAAGTGCTTGGCTAAAAAGGGGGTGATTTAAAAAATAGCAGAGAGATGCTGCTCTTGGATTTGCAAAAGACCTAAAGTGCTTCTTCCAAATAATTTTCAAAATATGTACAACTTCACACAGTTGAAGGATGCGTTGCTTATGCATCCTTCCTCCAATAAAGCAGCAGATGATTAGGAGTATTTGTGTTGGCCCTTAGCTTCTTGTTTAATCCTTTTCACCCACTTCCAAAACAATTCTTTAAATTCCCTAAACATTGCACTGCATTTTCTCTCCCTCTTTTAAACTGTTACTTGCTCTCTTTTCAACCATAACGCAGCTATTTTTCATATCCATGTTTTGCAGCAATCATTCTTATATGCATTTTTTGTCATCCACAATCTTTCAGATCATCATTCCAGAAATCATCCCTTTTCATTTTTCCTGGTAGAATAACTCCATTCACTTCTTTTCACTTTGTTTCAAAACATCCCTTTTACTTATTTATTTATTTATTAAATTTTTCAACTGCCCATCTCCCCCCAATGGGGGAACTCTGGGCGATTCACAACACACATTAAAAACATAAAATATATAAACAAATAAAACCTTAATTAAAAACTCATCCACAATCTTTCAGATCATCATTCCAGAAATCATCCCTTTTCATTTTTCCTGGTAGAATAACTCCATTCACTTCTTTTCACTTTGTTTCAAAACATCCCTTTTACTTATTTATTTATTTATTAAATTTTTCAACTGCCCATCTCCCCCCAATGGGGGAACTCTGGGCGATTCACAACAAACATTAAAAACATAAAATATATAAACAAATAAAACCTTAATTAAAAACATTACTTGTTTACTTTCCAGTAATTCCATTGAAAGAGTAACCTATTTTATTTTCTTGCAGTGATTCTACTGCCTTTTCTTTCCCTTTTCTTCTACATTCATTCTCTCCTAGGTTTTGATACTAACCCCCACTGCCCCCCCCAAAAAGGTTTGTTCCACATGCAGAACCTCTTGCATCTTTCACAAAGTCTTTCAGGCTTTATCAAAAACAATCAGATCAAACATGCTTTTTGATTCATTCATTGTCCTTGTGTGCATATGAAAAGACTCAAAGTATATATTTAAAGCAAAGATAATTACTTATAACCAGATACTCACCAGCCATCACATTAATTCGGTCTTGGGTCTCCAGTTGGCCCAATGACTTTTTTGTACTCTCTCATTTCTTCTGATCCATGTCACCTAACCAAATAATTTCCACCTTGGATTGTGTTCAATCTGACAACACATAATCTCTACCTTTCCACTATTTTATAGCTTAAACTTTTTCTCAAAGTCTTTTTATCCTGCTGTATTTCAGCAAATAAAGGGTCCCTTATTGCATTATTTACTTCTTGTCATGCCCATCCAGCTGGAAGCACCTAGCTGACTTTGGTTAATCTCAAAGAGTTAGGCAGGTGTCATTGTAACACAACTACAAAAGGGTAGTGTTTGCGCTGTGATGTCATAAGCATGTTTTGTAATTCTGTGCTTAGGAATGGATGCCTATGGATGAGTCTGTTATTGTCGCTGTTAGCAGTGTAAAGCTTTTAAAAAAATTCTTCTGTCTTCATCTTCCTAATGCCATGCTTCACTTGAATACATGGGAGTTGGGTGATGCAGAGATTGGTCTTGGGAAATATTTAGAATGTCTCTTCCCCAGAACAACATGTGCCTACTCTCAATAGTACCTTAAGGACTAGAGGACTGGCCCAAGATTCCAGTGCTTGAAGGAACCGAGACAGCATTTTACACAGGACCCTTCAAACAGACCAAGACCACTGGGTGTTCCTCTGCCTTCAGTGCATCCATCAGTACAGGATAAAAATGCTTCATGTAAGCGTAGTTACAAATAGACATCCATGGGCTCTACATCATCTGTCTAGAATTGTACTCATAGTTAGAGAATACCAGATTGAGCTAGCAACAAACATGCTGGAACTTTGAATGTTGGAAGGACTGCATTATTTAATATAATTAATATACAGAGCACTTCCTGGTCTCCAAAACAGAGAAGCTAATACTAAAAAGATACACTTGGCTGGGGTGTAGGGCTGGGGTAGGTTGGCTGGGACCCCATTTTTTATGGATTGTGTGTATCCAAGAACACACATGTGATTCACAATATAGTTAATTTTCAGTACAGGGAAGGTTTATTTGTATGGCAGTCCAAGAGTTTTTAGGAAGAAGACTAAAGTGATCTAGACTAGAAAATAGAGAAATTAAGCCATCTCTGTGATATATCAATTCATGCACATTTTCATTGTTTTTAAACATCCATTTGTGGTAAAATGACATGTACAATTTGGGTCAAAGAAATCCCAGTTATATCTACTATCTAAAACAAAAACAAAAAAACAGTTCATTCCATTGAGATAAAATCATACTAAGAGTTTTTTTTATTTATATTACTGAGCTAAAGCAATGAAGGAAGTCTGTGTTGGCCCCCAAAGTTACTTTCAGTTTCATTTTTTTCATTGACATTTTTTCCAGTAACCTATACCATAATAGAAATATGAACAACAACACTGAAATAGTTAACCTGGACTTATTTTAAAATAGCAATTGTATGAGAGTTTCACTGTGCTGTGCTGGAGACATTAAGCAATTTGAATGCACTGGTTTCATCCCATCTACCCCACACATATTTTTAAATTAAAGCCTTATCTGACTTGAATGCTTTTCAATGACATCTCCTGTTTTATAAAAACCACCCTGTGTGTTCCAAATGGCATTGGGTTGGACAACTGGCCCCTTGATGAAAAATGGGTGAGGGGGAAGTTTCGCAGTATTTTCTTTTAGTAGCAACTTTTGATCAATTTGGATTCTTGCCCCTGCATGGCGTAATTATTAGATACATGAATAAATGTAAGGCAATACGGCACATGAGCACAGGCATTCCCCCCCCAAAGGAAAAAAAACTAACTACAAAAGCAGAATAGAACAGAAATGGCCATACAATTATTAATCAGAAAAAAAAATATACACACACAAATACAACAGGAACATAAAGAAACAACTATTTTTCCAGAGCTGAGAGTCAAAAATAAGTTTTGTTGTAACGAGTGCCATGCCAATTACATGGGTTTCCCACAAAATTTGCTCCCAAGATGAAACAGAATGCATGAGAAACAAAAAAAATCTGTTGTTTTGGTATCTATCAAAACCTTCCTCCATGTAAGGAAAATGGCTAATTTGTCATTTCTCACTGACAAAAGGCATGAAAAGTGAAACGGTGTGCTTCTGTGTATGTGAGGTAAGGGCAATGGATGGGAGAATTGGTTTCAAGAAGACGATACTGTGCAAAGGCAGCCTGGAAATGATAAAATCAAGCTCTCATTGATCTCACTTCTGATGCTATAAACCAGCTTCAGTGCCCCAGGATTGTAAATCTGGCTGACATATTGCATTTGTCTGCCTGAGAGTAAGCCCACTCAACTTAATAGGAAGTTTTTATGCAAAACCATATAAATCAATTAAGCAGCAAAAAGTTAAAAGTAAAAAAAAAAAAGAATATTTTACAAAATTGTGAAGCTGCCCATCTCTTTTGTGCACATTATTTACACATGGACTTTGTTTTCATTTTATTTTAGTAAAAATATAAAACACAAATTCTGCCAACGTCCTACTGCTTCTAACATATGCAAGTGCTTGGAACAAAGAATTTCAAGGACTGATGATAAGGCTGTTTCCCCCAGATCTTATTAACAATGCTGCTTCCCTGCTTAATTGGGTGAGATTTTGTTTCAAAGAAACATCTGCAAAGCAGCAAAAGGGTCAAAACAGTAGGGTGAGAGAGACATGGATAAGAGGGACAAAAAAAATCTTCTAAAGAAAATGGGTGTCACCAGAAATCCTGTCCCTCTGTTGGCAGTTCCAGTCTGTATCAGTGTTTCATCTCAGCAGATAGCCATCAAACTGGTTGCCACTCACATCCCCATCTCCACATTCTTTCTATGATGCTAAAATTACACTGGTTTCAAATATGAATGCATCTCAGTTCTTTCCTAACACGAGGCATTTCCCATCCTGTCCATGCTGGCCAGGACATTTGAGCATGCAGCTGAGCGAACCGAGGGTGTGTCTGGTTAAGAATCCATGGTGGCTAGAAGAAAAGTCTCACAGCCTGACAGCCACATACGCTTTAGGCTTCTTGAGCCTAACAGTTCAATCATCCCACAGGTCATTTGTTAAGCCTTGGGGAAGAAAGGGAACAGCCACTGGATATCCTTCATAAATGAACTTTTCAGAGCATTATTTTATCTCAGTTCAGAACTGAACAACATACAGATCCTGAAGACTTTCCCCCATTACTAGTGTAATTGTCCAAAGGTCTCATGTACATTAATGATTATGCATCACCAGGTCTCTTTGAGAAGCAACATTGCTAGAGAGGAGCCCACAACAAATAAAGTACTTTCCCTTGAACAAGTGTCTTTTCTTTAAATAAGATCTAGAAGCTATGTAGATGAGGGCCAAGTGTGTGGGCTGGCAGGTTGGGGGTGCCTCCGGTTCCGCTTCTTCTTAATCTCTTGAGCGTGCTTCCATTTTGGCCCACCTTTATTACGCTGCCGTTTCTTTTCTCGGTGCCACATCTGCTCGCAATACTCATCCAGACTGAAGCTGGGACTGCTAAGCAACTGGAGATAATCTTTGTATCTCAGTCGGGACTCAGCTTGCAGATCTCGCGTACGGCCTTGTTCGTCTTCTGTTCTATGACTGTTCTCCATCTGTTCATTCTCTATGACGTTCAAATTTAACTTCACAATGGTCTGAACAAATGTGTGTTCCTGTGCTTTACAGTAATACGTCCCAGTGTCCTTCTTTTGCAAGCTACGGATTAGCAGTCCATATTCTGTCTTGAAGACTCTTTCATCTGGTTTCAACTGTTGGGTAGGAAAAAAACACTATAACTCTTACAAGAAAAGAAGTATATGTTATATGAATGTTGAACATGGAGACGGAACAGATTTTTGAATGAAATGTAATGCAACACCACCTTGTAAAGCTCTTTTCTGCTCAAACTTTGTCCATATTGTCTGAGATTATAGTCTTCACATGTTGTTTGTGACTATTTGTGATTATTTCACAAATAATGTTTGTGATTATTATGCTTCCCCAATGCTTAGCAGCTTTTCTTCACCTATCCAGTTTCAGGTTCAAGTAAGATAGATGTAAATGTGACATGATCCTAAAAAATACACCTGGATGTCCCAAAATGTTTCCTATGATACAAAGTCTGCTTTTATTCATATGATAGGGAGGGAAATAAACTGTATTCTCAAGTGCCAAAAGGAAAAAGGAAATGTAATTGCTGGATACCCATAAACCAGAATGGACATATAAAGTGGAGAATCAATCTTCTTGATACCTTGGCACACACATGTTCTATGCAAATGGATGTAATTAATACTAATTTTTAGAATTCTTTATTTCTAGATATTTCATCCATGAATGCCAATGGTAATTGTGGCATTCCAGATGTTTCTGAACAATCTCCATCATCCCTCATCATTGGCCATGTGGATTGGAGATGCTGTAGGTAAGCAACATCTGGAGGGCCATGGTTTTTATACTCTTCAGTTTCTTAAGAACAGAAACATGACAAGATGTTTATCATGCCTAGAACTAAGAAGGGATGGATGAAATTAGTCACAAGAATCAAGCAATTCAGGCCATAGCTTTTTGAAGCAGGGGTTTCAAAACAGATGTAGTATGATACGGATCTAGGAAGCCTGACAGGCATCTGCCATGTTAGAATTCCTAGATCAACTGGGGGAAGAATCAAGGATGGAAAGCTAAATAGGGCAGCAGATAATACAGGCTCATCTATCCTTACCATGTCATGAATATATGTGTGGCAGGTACATGAGTTGCAAACATGATCCATAATGTTTAACCTTCCTTAAGTCTCTTTAAGATGGTTCCCATTCACTCCCAGGTTACACTGCCTGTTCAGCTGAGCAGCCCTGCTCCAAGCTAATAGTCACACAGCAATATAGCCAAGCTGCTGTGACAATTTGATAAGCTTTATCCTACATTTGTCATGTTTAAACAGTAAGGATTATGTCATGCAGTGATGGTAAGGAACCAGTGACAAAAGAACCATGCAGCATGTGTGAAATGCGCCTTACAAAGGAAAATACAAATTAGACAGAAACTTCTCAAATGCTTGAACAACAAGGGTAGGAACTTCATATTTATTGTAATTCAGGAATGGTAGCCATTACAGATCATTTAAGTTCACTGAGTGGCATGAGACCAATTTCAGAATATATTGTCTTCTTCTAGGCCAAATCTAGTACCTTCTTTTTACACCATTCCCCCATCTGACAGAGTTCTGGCCTTCTGTTTCTCATGCTCAGCTGACTGGTCTGTTACGTGTTTACATGTTCTGCATTCCTGCTCTGAGATCTCTGCAACTAATTGCATCCTGACTGAAAGTGGTATGACAAAAGCATCTATTTGATTAGGGCTAAGGATGAACCTATTAGTCCATGCCAAGGCTACATTAATCCAGGACCAACCGGCCTGATAACTGGCTTTCAAGTAAGACCAAGGTGTTGCAATGAAGCTGAGACAACAGGAATGCTTTCTGATGAAGGGACAGTTTATAAATGGAGAAGTTTATTTCAAACTTCCTGAGCAGCATTCTAGTTTTTGTTGTTATTGTTATTGTAGTTCTTCTTGTTAAATGCAATATTTTAAAAGTATGCTCTGGACTTCAAATATTGTACATGTCAAATTGCAATTTTTCTTTTTCTTTTTCCCAAAGAAAAACAAATAGGGTTTTCTGAGCTACAGAGCTCATATATATGGGCTATTGAATAAGTTGCATTCCCAAATCTGTTAGTAACATAGACTACATAAACCACAGCCATCTATTACAGATCTTATAATCAATGTAGTACAATAAACATTTCCTGATGTTGAAGCCAGTATGGGTTTTCAGGCATTTTACACACAATTAATAATTATAGGATCTATTACAAACAACAACTGTTTGCATTAGTTTCTTAAAGGCATTCATTGCTGATGAAAAGAACAATGAAATCATGCAGTCTAATATTTTCAGACTGGTTAATTTGCACAACCCAATTCCAGTCTGTGGCTCTGAACCAGATACCTGAAAACATAATGGATGATATCAATTGTCTCTAGCATTTTGTTCCACAGTGGCCAAATACAGGCCCATGAGAAATCTAGTTCCTTTTAAGGTAAGGTCATTTAATTGTTGGCCATCGCTACATTGTATAAGGGTGAATTGCATAGTTTACTTATGCACTTTTGTTCATCCTGAACCTCTTAATCTTTCAGCTTCACTGGGTGACTCCATTTCTAGTTTTATAAGTGAGGAAGAAAATGATTTCCCTATTTTTTTTCCTCTGCACTGTGGCCAATTTTCAGCAACTATACCATGCTCATGGCCCCATGTCACTTTCACTCCTTGCACAGCTCCCATGAAAAATGTCTCTTCTCTTTGCCTATTCTGGATTGAATAAGATTACCCCAAAGGTCTTCCTCTTTGCACAGAAAATTTCATTCAGTGCACTGAAAATTACTTAATTAAGGATGTATGGCTCTATTACAATTACTTCCACATATAATTCCTATATATATATATTCCACTTATATATAATTTCACATATAACACAGCACGTCTTGGGCAAAAATGTATTTTTCAGATGTAACCATTGGACCTAGAAAACTAAAAGAGAAAGGATTTAAAATGGGTATTCATTTTAACTGGCAACTATTCCCATGGGACAAAATAGGTCAGAAGTTGAGACAACTGCCTCACTTTAACTTACAAATTGGTCAAGCTGTTTTCCCTATAAGCATAAATTTCTAGTGCTATCTTTAGCAAGATGAGATGGCTGACAAATGGCTTCTCCTCACATGGCTGGGAAGCAACTCATCCTCATCGTGATCGCCTCCCTAAGATGATGAGGGTGGATGACAAGGGTGCATCCTTGTGTGGTACCTACGTCCTGGGAGCTGAGACATTGCTAATGTGGTCAGGAATATCTTGTGGACACTTTCCACATGACCTGCAGCTTCTGTTATTCCAGAGCAACAGATGGAAGAAGCTCCATCCAGGAGCCTTCATATTTCTGAAAGGAATGTTGGAACTGGGCCAGCAGAAATGTGGTAGTCAGCCAAAAATGTAGCTGCAATGAAATTCAAAATGGCTGCTCAAGAATTCCTATTACTAGAACAGAATTCAGAATATATCTTAGTATCTGGTAATCTCATCTTTAGGATATATTTGTGTTTTCCTTAAATGCTCTAACAGATTCCTACATGCAATCATCCTCAGAAAAATCATATATCTTAAGTCACTATTGCCACTGGACATTGCAGATGAAAAGCTAAGGCTGAGGTATATACTTGTCAGACATGACCTACTGATCTTTGAGATTTCTACTTGGGACTTCCTGGCCCACAGATCATGCATTCAGCCATTATATCACATGCAGGCTTTTTAAAAGATGTTTTCACTGTAGTGCAGATAGTTTTAAAAAATTCTCTGACATGACAAAGTCACATTATGTTCTTCTACTGCCACACTGAGGTCTATATAATGAAAAGCAGTAACGGTGGAAGATTCAGCTTGACCAAGCAGCGTGTAGCATGAATACTGGAAAATCTCAGTGTTATGCTAATGATACAAATACATTATTCAAAATGTGGGGTCAGAGTTAAAACATTAGTTTTTTAAAATTTCTGGTGCTGTCTTTAGCCAAATGAGATGGGAGAAATGAGCAAAGCAGAAATGAAACTGGAACACTGCCCAAATGATACGTATGCCTTTCTAGCAAACTTCAGAAGGAATAGATTTAGGAAGCAGGAGGATGACTAAATTAAATGTATTCACAGTGGGTCGATCATATACTGTTCCTTTATGTAAAAAATATGTGGACAATTCCCTCTTTCTCTCATCATTCTCATTCTCATTCTCATTCTCATTCTCATTCTCTCTCTCTCTCTCTCTCTCTCTCTTTCTCTCTCTCTCTCTCACACACACAGAGAAAACTGAATTGTAAGACAGCTGTATGCATCTGTCTTACAACTGGTTTATTGAGTAGAACCACTGATTGCATCACAGATTTTAATACAGCTGTTTAAAGAAAGGGATTATGAACCAATAGCAAGATGGACATAACAAGCAGGAAAGGCTTCAGGATTTTGATTTCTCCTGCTTCTCATTTGTCATATGTCTTTGGACAGTGAGGTCCAGATCCTTGAACCTACTAACAAATGGCCATCAATATCATCCAGACAGCTAGCAAATTCACATATGCAACTCAGAAATTAAGGTCCCCTTTTGGTGGTGACAAAGGGACTTTGAAGTTGGAATTGCAGGTTTAGAAATATCTGCAATGGTCATTTCCAGTACAATGGGTTCTGTTTCCTTTGAAGAAACATATGATAGTTTAAGTCAAAGGGAGTAGAAGTCTTTGTTGTAAATGAGATATTTACATCTTCTCTATGAAGGTGGTTAAGACCAGGCTCTTCCCTCAAACTTGAGCGTAAATGGGATATTATATTTTACGATATTTCTGTTGCATTTTAAATGTGCTACTTCTGTGAAAAGAAGAATGACAGCTGGTCTTGGGTCATAATAGAATAAGCCTATTATTAGTTAAACAAGCCACTTTAAAATAACTGGCTCATTTAAAACTGTGGTTTATTTTAATTTAAAGAGTTATACCTATTGCAGATACCTCGTTAGAGAAGTTATTTCTTTTTCCTCCCACAGGAAGGATTTTTTTTTTCTGAAATGCTCATTGTGACACAGACATACATTATCTTACACAGAATGTTTTCCCCTTTTAGTGTAATCATTCCATTCAAATGAAAACATGCTGTTTTCATTGATTAA